ATCAAAAATTATAGATACGTTGGAGACGTATCAAGGTATCCAACATGGGTCTACTATTATGCTCTCAAGGGAAAACTCAGAGCAACGCCATTGTCTGTGGACTAGGAATCCGAAACTTTGTTGGGTCTGTTGGGGCCTGGGAATCATTTTCTGGACAATATCAGACCTACATCAGTATTATTCATATTGTCAAAAAAACATACACAAGTATATTCATCATTATTTGGCATCACAGATGTTTAGAGGTTGTTTGGATTGCAACCCCGATTCGCTTGGCCAAATATTTGGCATTGACCACAGCATAGGCGTCTGTTTGGATAGCGTCTGATTATTTGACTCGCCCTCGGTGCCACAGCTCCTCCCCAAATTACTGGCTAGCCTATCGTTGCGAGGGCAACTTTTGGCAGCTCCTCCCCAAATTATTGGCTAGCCCATTGTTGGCAGGGCAACTTTGATCCAAACGGACCCTTTACTCGATAAAACTTTTAAAAAAATAACTTAGAGAACATCTACGTTCCTTGTATTTTGAGAAGGAGGAAGCGCAACTGGTAACACTTCATTAAATTGAAACATTAGTTAAGTCATTTGGAGTACACATAAAATTTACCAACCAAAGGACAATATCTGAGAACTCGACTAACTGAAATTTTGATGCGTTATTAGCTCGCTTGACTTAATATGCGTATATGCCCACACCCTTATCTAGTCTCAAAGCCATTAGAAAAAATAACCTAAGAGCATCTCCAGCCGCATCCCAAACACGTTCCCCAGGCGATTTTTTAGCGTTGGCGGACGAAATTTGGCTCAGTCACGTCCCTAGGAGCCCTTTTTCGTCGGATTGGGCCGAAATTAGGGCCGGCGGACCCAGGTCGAACCCAACGCGCTGGGGGATGCTGGCGCAAGCGTTTTTGGCATGAACTAACCGCGGGCCCGCGCGTCAGCGACAGTTGCCTCGTCGTCCTCAAACCGCCTCGGTTTCCTACGGGGGAATCAATGCCAAGGCTGCCGCCGGTCAGCCTTCCATTGATTCCTCACGGACGGCGCTTCCTCACGGGTGGCGCGGCGATGCCCCCCTCCCGCCACGCGTACACACGGTGCCCGGTTATAAAAGCGACGCCTAGCTCTCGCCTCTGGCCACACCCTGTCGTGCTCTGCCTCCCTCTCCCCGTGCGCACCTGCCGCCGACGATCCTCCCCTCTCTTCCCAAGCCGAGCATCGACAATGGGCGAGCGTTTCCCCGGCGACACGGCGACGGCCAACGGCTTTGGCCGCCGCTCGCTGAACGCGTGGGAGGCGTACCTCCTCTTCGAGGCGATCATCCCGGCGTCGCCCGATATGCGTGCAGGGCCGAGAGGGTGGAGGCTCAGCGCCGGTGGCGTCCCCATTCCCCCGGTGCCCAACGTCAACGCGTGTGCGGACTACTTCGCCGACGAGGTCGACCGCGTGTGGGCGTCGCTAACGGAGGAGTAGCGCACCCTCCCGCAGTACGCCGCCGACAACCACGCGACGTGGGCGGCGTACTTTCACCATCGGCAGGAGCGGCGGCTAGCCTCCACCAACGGGGCGCCAGTGGTGGGGGCGTCAAGAACAACGAGGGGCGTCGCCTGTGGTGGGGCGCCCCCGACCGCACGCTGCACGAGGTTCTCCAGCACCTCGAGGGCGGCAACCACCCGCCGCTGACCTACCCTGCCGCGGCCGCCGCCCCAGTCCCCCGCCGAAGCGCCGGGCAATGGATGCCCAGGAGGTTTGGCTCCTTCTCGTCCTCGTCCTCCCACTCCTCTTCTCACTCCTCCGGCTCGCCAGCGGTGTTCGGCGTCAAGGTCGAGCCCGCAGCGGAGACGCCGCTCGGGCGGCGCACCCGCAGCGCTGGCATCATCATCAACGAGGGTGGCGGGCGCGGGTCCTCCTCAGTTCCTCCCCGCTATGTCAAACCGAAGACGGAGCCGGGGCTCGCCGTCGTGAAGACGGAGCCAGGGCTCGCCGGCGGCGTCAAAGAGGAGCTCGCCAACGCGGCGGCCCTGAAGTGGGCGCGTGAAGACTCGACGCGGACGGAGCTGGAGAGCCAGCGTCACGCCTACGAGCAGTTCGCCGCTCAGCGTCGTGGCCGCGACGAGGGAGACGTCGTCGTCCTCGACGACAGCGACGATGATGTGCCGCCGCCACCGGTCCACCAAGGCGATGCCAGAAAGGGGCGGCCGCGTCAAAGAGGAGAAGGCCGACGAGGGCGGCGGCGAGGATGGCGACGACTTCACCGCGCTCACGGCGTTCTTCAACCCGTGATAGTAGTTGCGGCCGTTTTTTTAAAACTTTGTTATGTAATGCCATGTTTGTCCAGTTTATTATGTAATCGTCGAACTTTAGCTGAATATTTGTCCAGTTTACCAAATTTTAGCCGAATTTCTTTTTTTCTAAACCGCCTTCTGGTGGTAACCCTAAGGCCGACGGCTGGGAACCCGAAAAACCCCACGCCAAGTTTAGTGTCGGCTCGCCCCCAGGCAGCGATTTTACATGCCCCCGGGGGGCCAACAGCTGAAGAACCCGAAAAACCCCACGCCAAGTTTAGCGTCGGCTCGCCCCCAGACAGCGATTTTACATGCCCCCGGGGGGCCAACAGCTGAAGATGCTCTAAAAGGATGTACGCCGAAGAGATTATATCTTAACAACTGAAGCAGCTGCGCAGGCGCACTTCTCTTTGAAATATATCTTTTGTTCATCAAACAGTACAGCAGTACTTCACATAACGGGTGCAGGTGTATTTTCAACATTTGTGTAACTACAGCTCTGCCATCTGCCATCATTCTCCCAGAGAAGAAAACAACCACTACTTCCTCCATCCGGAATTACTTTTCGCTTTAGTTCTAGATACATCCATTTCTATCCATTTCTGCAACAATTAATTCAGGACGGAGGAAGTTCATGATTAAAAATAATTGGGAATCTATGTACCATTATATACAGAGTAATATTTTGGAATTATTTAACGGCAATCAACAGAACAAAGATAACAGATCTGTATTCAAGAGTTCTCATCTCGTCACATCTTGCTATTCTTTTATTTTGAAACTCACTTATATTAGAACATACAGTACTAGAGAAATTGTGCTTTCTTAGACTAGTGGAACCTTAAGAGGTGCAAAAGAAGGCTTTGCTGACTAGAATGGATCTCCCAAGTCCGTACTTCAAACGCTTAAACTGCAGGAAAGAGTTCACTCCCCACCATGACATTGGTGGAGTAACTTTCCATGGAAGTTAAACTGCGGACTAAAGTCACTACCAAGGAAAAACAGCTCAATATACTTTAAACTAACGCATTAAATAGCAAAAGAGAATTCACAGTTTGATGTTGGTAACCGTAACATATACCAAAAATCCTACAAAAGATCAAATTTTTGTCATGCAAATGTGTTGTAACATGTTCTCCAGCTCACCCTAGTTATGCAAAAAGGCATGTAAGAGATGTATTCATCACCCAATGCTACATTGATTCAGAACTAGACATCAAAGAAATTGGTACAAATCGGCTAAATCAAAATCATACTCCCTCCGTTTCTAAATATAAGTCTTTCTAGAGATTTCAATATGGACTACATATGGATGTCTATAGACATACACCTCACTCTGTGCGTTTTAAAACCGAACCGAAAAACCATACCGAAAATAAACCGAACCGAACCGATTTTTTTGTTTTTATGGTTTCTGGTTTCGGTATGGTATGAACTTTTCATACCGATTTGAACTTTGGTTTTTATGGTATATACCAAAAAACCGAATGGTTAACCGAATAAACCGAAGTAAAAGATAAATTTATATTTCTTGAGATGAACAACCGTACAAGTTGTCATTTTTCTTGTACATGAGTCAAATTCACTACTAAGCACCAACATTTTTCTTGTAACATTGTCATTTTTCTATTTTTAAAATGCTAAGCACGTCCATAACCATCAACAGATGAATCAATGCATGCATATATACTTATATATATAGTCATATACTATTTGTGTAAAATAGAATGTGTTTTGAGTCATAAATTTGCAAATTATTATTACGTCATTTTAAAATTCGCATCAACTTTGGTTTTTATGGTATATACCGAAACCATACCGAAATAATTTGGTATATACCGAAACCGAACCGTATTTACCGAAGTATTAATACCGTACATACCGAAAAACCGTATAAACCGAACCATGTAAACCGAATAAACCGAACGCACAGGGCTACATACACCCTCCGTTCCAAAATAGTTGACTCAACTTCGTATTAAGTCTAGTACAAAGTTGGGTCATCTATTTTGGAACGGAGGGAGTATTTTAGAGTGTAGATTCACTCATTTTGCTCCGTATGTAGTCCATGTTGGAATCTCTAAAAAGACTTATATTTAGAAACAAAGGGAGTAGTATAGATCATCATCTTCAACTCAAAACCAATTATATAGAGAGCTACCATGTCTGCAACAATAAATCAGCTGACATCAAATCAGACTTTTAGAAATGTTGACCAAATATATGTGTCAGTACCGATTTTACTACGTGTCTATGGCACATGAATTTGCAGGAAAACTGAAATACAAGCATAGAAACATCTGAGTTCTGCATAAACCTGCATAAGTTATCCCACCCAATAGCCTTTTACCACCTGATTACTGAAGAGCTTTATACAAGGCCAATCTTGATATAACTTCCTGCTTTACAGGCTCCATTACTGCAATATTATAGTTATGATATGCTAAAGCTACCTTGCAATACTACATAGAAATGACAAAAGCCTGAGTAATACTACTTGAAAGATTCTTATTAAATATGCACAAATTACTGATTTCAAGGCAACACCATTTATGCATATATGGATAGTTCAGCCACTGACAAACAGTAATACGCAAATATGTTACACATATTAAGAATCATGCTTAAAATGCAACAACCATTTGACAAGACAAATAACAAAGGACAAGCACTGTTGCAAACACCGATGAGTACAATTTACCGCTTCAGCGCTCCTCTTTAGCCCCTCTTATGCTCCCTGCTCTTCTCTCCAGAGCGACTTGCCCCCTGCGGACAATGTCGCTCATCCTCACCCAATCCATGGCTTTCTGACCTCTTGTGGCTCTTCTGTTTACTGGATCGCTTCCTTTCATGTGGGGATTCGCTCCCATCACTGTCACTACCAGATGCATCCCTCCGGTGATGACGCCTCTTATGGTGGCGGTGATGCCTCCTCTCTTCCCCTCCAGATTCATCATCCTCTGATGAGTCATCCTTCCGGCGGTGCGTCCTCCGCCTCTTCCTATCTTTCCTACTCTTCATGTGCCTCTTCCTGTCAGAGTCACTCTCGCTATCCTCATCTGAGGATCTGTGCTTCTTCCGCCTATTCTTCTTCTTGTCCTTGGTTCTCTCCTCCTCCGAATCGTCCTCACTGTCACTCTTCCTGCTCCTCCTGTGCTTCGATCTTCCCCTGCTCTTGCTCTTATGGCGGCTTGTCTTCTTGTCCTCCTCCCCTGACCGCTTCCCTCCACGGCTCTTGGCACGCTCCCGTTCAGCAATTATCTTCTCCAGCTCGGGATCAATATCAGAATCAGAGGAATCGCTGTCAATCTCATCCTCATCTTCCTCGTCAGAACCCTCCTCGTCAGCGTCTCTGGCACCAGAGGCTTTCTTCGTGATCTCCTCGAACTTGGCCTTGGCCTGCGCGGCGGACAGCATGCCAGCTTGGATGTCGTCGTCCATGGCAAGCTCCTTGACAGAAAGGAAGTTGCGGCACTGGAAAGTGAGATGGCCAACACGGCCGCACTTCTTGCAGGCGCCCCGGGTCTCGTCGGAGTTGGATCCGGTGACGCGGGCGAGCGCGAGGAGGCCCTGGAAGCTGGTGTAGGCGTTCTCCGACGAGGCCCCGGGGTCCGAGGAGGGAGGCGCGGCGGCTTCGGCGGCGGCGTTGGCTGCCGCGGCTGCGGCGTTGGCGGAGACGGAGGAGGAGGGGGCCTGCTGCTTGTTGTTCTCGGGGGCGTAGGGGTCGTAGCCGATGGCGCTCTGCCAGATGCCGTGCGTCTGCAGCGCCGCGCTGCTGTGCACGCGGTTGTTCGCCGGCATGCGAACGCGCCCCGCCGTCGCCGGCATCTTCGGTAGCCGGGGTTAGGGTTAGGGCTCGGTGGGTGGGTGGGGAATCGGGGATGTCTTTCGATCGACGAGAATCGGGTGGAGGTCAAAGAGGAGTGGCCGACTCGTGTACTACTCTCTGGACAGATCTATAGGCGTCATATGCGGATGGGCCGACGTGGAGTTAGGCCGAATTCTATTTGGGCTTGTATAACGTGCCAGACCGCTCTTCGCATTTAGGCCCAGTTCAGTTCATAGGAAATGAGCAGAAATAAGAAATTCCACAGGAACACTGTTCTATAGTAAACACTAGCAAATATGCCCGTTCGTTGCAACGGGAGAAAAATAGCTTTGTGTTGTCCTACTAAAAAACACAATGCGCCAATCGAAAGAATGGGGACATAATAGAACTTTCCAGAATTCTTGAGCACCAACGTTGACCGGTTTGTCCAAATTTGAATAATCATTGAAGACACATAGAATTGGTTGAAAAATGAAATGATACAAAGTTCATTACCATTCAATAAAATGGCGCATTTCTTTTCACTTCAAGTTTATTAATTAACATTGTAAAATTGAGATGAATTAAAAATTTACAGAATTCTCGGGCATGAATGTTCACAGGACCGAGGTTGTTATATTTGAAAAATAACGAATTTTTTTATAGAATTATTTTTCATGTTGTTCATTGACTTAGAAATAACAATTACTAAATTATCGAGAAATAGCTCATTGATATTACTTTGTGCTATTTTAAAATAATCTAGAAAAAAAGTTTGCATAGGTCATTATCAAAGTTAGAGAAATTTGCAAATTCTGAACCTAAAGAAATTATTACAAAAAATTTCATTTGTGATATTTTTGTTCTGAGCGTATCTAATGAATTAAGGAAAACAATATCCTGAAGTTTCAAAGAAATACACAAGCTTTGATGTTTTTATCCTTTTTTTTTGCCCACATTGTAAACATCTACAAGACTTCACATCATTCCATGAGAAGTCGATACAATAACTAAGAAAAACATGTACTCCTACAAACACAGAGATGTTAAAATTTAGCACAACAAAATTCTAATTATCCATATGGTTACTAAGAACAAATATTTTTTCCACATAATTTGACATCCACAATTTTTCTGCTGGTCTATCCTAACACTAATTTATTTATTGTCGAAAGTAACCCGTACATATATAGCATCTAAGCATCCAAATTAACCCTATCTATTTATATCCACCTATAAATAATTTTTTTAACATGTTTGCTTAGGGCATCTCCAGCCGCGCCCCCAACAGGGCCCCCCAGGCCACTTTTTCGGCGCCGGCGCCGAAAAAACGGCCCAGTCGCGCCCCCAGGATGCCGAAAATCGCCGGTTCGGACTTTTTTTCCGCCCGGCTGTCACAGGCCGAACCCGGCGCGCTGGGGAGCAATTGGGGGCTCCGGCGCTAGGGAAAAGCACGCCTGGCCCACACCGACAGGGGAAAAGTCAAGGTTTTCTTCCCCCGACTCGCCTCGCACCCCCCGCGCCCTCGGCCACCACTAGCTATATCCCGGCGACGGCCGCCGCCCTACTCCGCTAGATAGCCATTCCCCGCCGGAAAATAGCAGCCCTTCGCCGCGGCAGCCCCTCCCACAGTAGCTGGGCGTTTCCGGCAGCCGTTCCGGCCGCGGAGGCGCGGTTTAACGGCGGGTACATGCCCACCGAACGCAAGGTGTTCGGCGTTTCGCCTGCCTCGGCGATGGACTCGGATGAGGAGGAAGAGCTCGCCGCGCTGCTGGAGGAGGAAGCCGCGGCCGACGTCCAGGAAGAAGAGCATCTCATGGTGCTCGCGGCCCTCGCCCAGCTGCTGGCGAGCAATGAAAAGCCGCGGCGAGGTGGCTCGGCGCCGGGGCGAATGAAAGCAAAGAACCGGCATTGTCTCCAAGGCTACTGCATGCTCTACTCCGACTACTTCGCCGATGCTCCACTTCATGGCGAGAGAACATTTTGGCGCCGTTTTCGGATGAGCCGAAAGCTCTTCCTCAGGATTGTGAATTCCATCCGGGAGTTCGACAACTACTTCAAGTGCAAGATGGATTGCACTGGCGCTCTTGGATTCACCTCCATCCAGAAGTGCACGACATCGATGAGGATGCTTGCATATGGAGCTCCCGGTGATTCACTCGACGACTATGGGCGCATGGCCGAGTCCACCAGCATAGAGTGTTTCTACAAGTCCTGTCGGGCAGTGGTGGCAGTGTTTGGGCCACAATACTTGAGAACACCCAATGCGGAAGACACTGCTCGGATCCTAGCCCAGAATGCAGCAAGAGGATTTCCTGGGATGCTTGGAAGCATCGACTGCATGCATTGGAAATGGAAGAATTTCCCATTTGGTTGGCAGGGGATGTACAAAGGTGCCAAAGGCGGTTGCAGTGTGGTGCTTGAGGCGGTAGCCACATAGGACCTCTGGATTTGGCACTCCTTCTTTGGTATGCCAGGAACTCACAATGACATCAACGTGCTGCAGTGCTCTCCTGTTTTTGCCAAGCTCGTTGAGGGCCATTCTCCTCCGGTGAACTTCGAGATCAATGTGCACCAGTACAACAATGGGTACTATCTAGCTGACGGCATCTATCCGAGATGGTCGACATTTGTGAAGACGATCTCAAACCCTGTGGCAGGAGGCAAGAACGCCTGGTTTGCGAAGCTTCAGGAGGCTTGCAGGAAGGATGTCGAGCGGGCATTTGGTGTGCTCCAATCTCGATTTGCTGTTGTTCGGTACCCCGCTCAGACCTGGTCCAAAGATCAAATGTGGGAGATTATGACTTGCTGTGTCATCTTGCACAACATGATCATCGAGAGCGAGCAAGAAGACCAAGTGTTTGACACTGAACCATACTACAGGCAGGGTCCTCTAACCGAAGTTGATCACCAGCTACCGGCAACTTGGACTGCCTATCTCAGTATGCGTCAGGAGATCCGAAACCCACAGGTGCATCATCAACTGCAGAAAGATCTGATTGAGCACCTATGGAGGCTCAAGGGGGACGTCGTGTGATGAAATACGAGTTTTTATTTGTTGAACTATATAATTTGTATTGAACTATTTGTTGTTGTACTATTTTGTTGAAGTATTTGATTTTTCTGTGATGAAATATGTGATAAGAAATAATTGTGTTGATAATTGAACGCCGAGACACGGCGAAACCACACCGAATATGGGCCTATTCTCGCCCATATGGGCCCTTTATTCGCCAAAATTGGGCTGCAAAGTGGGCCAATTTCGGCGCCTGGGGGCGACGACTGGGCGCAAAACCGCCCCCAGCGCCGATTGTATCGCCGGCTCGCCCCCAGGGGGCGATTTTTATGCGTCCTTGGGGGGGGGGCAACGGCTGGAGATGCCCTTAGAAAAACCGGGTGTGGAGATGTTTGTATGCCTTATTTATTTATTTTTTACTTTAACTTTAATCTCTACTCCTAATGGAGCAGTTGGTAGCCTGGTACTCCGGTTTTTTTTCGTCTGGTTTTATTTCGTCCCATCTCCCTCGTGCCACTGGTTTTTATCTATCTACAAATCTCCCCTCCAACTGGTTTAAGCCAGTTATCAATCTTTGGCAAGGCAATAAAAGTCACACGGGAATAAATCAGTCACGGTTGGTAGTCAATCTCATACCTGCCAAGAGATTTGGTAACAGAATAAATTCAATTGAAAGGGTGGGGGACGTTTATCTCTATTTCTAATGGAGCAGTTGGTAGTCTCCGTTTTCTCTACTCCTAATGAAGCAGTTGGTAGCCCGGTACTCCGATTTTATTTTCGTCTGGTTTTATTTCGTCCCACCTTCCTCGTACCACTGGTTTTTATCTATCTACAAATCTCCCCTCCAACTGGTTTAAGCCGGTTATCAATCTTTGGCAAGGTAATAAAAGTCACACGGGAATAAATCAGTCATGGTTGGCAGTCAATCTCAAACCTGCCAAGAGATTTGGTAACAGAATAAATTCAATTGAAAGGGTGGGGGGCGTTCATCTCTACTCCTAATGGAGCAGTTGGTAGTCTCTGTTCCAGGTTTATTTTATCCCACCTTCATCTGGTTTTTTTCACTGTTTTTTTCATCGTTTTTCTTGTCTGAGTTTTTTTTATCTCACCCCGCACGTAAAACAACAGTCAACAAGACTCCCTCAATCTCGATCTGTTTCATCTCTCAAACGACGCCCCAGCCCCGAGAAGGGCCGCCGCCGCCTCCAGGTCACCGCCGCCCTCACACTCGCATCCATCCCTTTGCCGCCGCCGTCGCGCTCACGGATCCCTGAAATGCTGCCGATCCAAGACGAGCCGCCGCCGCCGAGGAACGAGAGGAGCCGCCGCCTTCATTGCAGACCTGGGCTAGGGTTCCATACGCCGCCGCCGGTGTCTCGCCCCCTCACCACGTACGGATCTCTCCTTTCAATCCCCATCTGAGACCGAAACCTACTCACGCCTCTCCTTGATCGCCCACGCCATTGCAGTCCCAACCACAGACGCCGACGCCGGCTGTAGTTAGAAACATACTCCCTTCGTTCCCAAATATTTGTCTTTCTAAACATTTCAAATGGTTACAACATATAGATGCATGTAAACATATTTTAGAGTGTAGATTCACTCATTTTGCTTCGTATGTAGTCATTTGTTGAAATCGCTAGAAAGACAAATATTTGGGAACGGAGGAAGTAGCTACTACATAGGAATTGATAAGGGCGCAAGCAGAAGTAGCTATGAGGGTTCGATGGATGGGTAAGGCACGCATGGCGAGGACTGTTTATGTGTTTGCCAACATACTTCAGGCGTGTGTCGAGACAGACTTGGAACATGCAACAACGAGCATGGTGCTTACTGCTTAGGAGAATGTTGGAAGCTTGCCCCTCATTGATAAGAAGCATGTAAAGGTACGCACAAGCAATGATGGGCAGTGGCACCGATGGTCAGGCGAATGAGAAGATGGAAGATGAAGCCACCCGTCCGCATCAGGCATGTATAACTGATCCATGGCCATGCATATTTGTG